GAGACGAAAGAAACGAAAAAAAGACTAGAAGAACGTCTAACGTCGGGAAGAATTTGCTAGCTAAAAAGGTTGAAAAGGATCAAAAGAACAATGCTGTCCTCGTGTGCTTTTTACATTGCACGAACGGGTTGCGTACGATCGATGCGCGCGACCCGATCATTACCGCGGGTGTATTATAAAATCTTGGATATTATCATCGTCTCTCTACGCGTTCCAAGTTTCCCTTGTCCCCGTTTTTCTCCGGTAACCAGTCGACATATAACAGTCGACGCTACACGCGTAACAACACCATATACGCGTCCGCCAAAAGTCAAGATTGATTTTCAGGAATATTATTAAGGTCGTACTTTTAGAGGCCCGCGTGGCAACGTCCTTTTGCGTTCGCACAGTTGACGTCGCGCACGAGACGACGACGACGACGACGACGACGACGACGACGACGACTACGCGAGGTTATAGCGAGCGAGGAAGAAGCGAGCAAGCGAGGAAAGAGCAAGGAAGGAAGGAGAGCCGCAGGCGAGTTGTATAATATGAACGCGCCGCGCCGGAGTTTCGGCAGGCTATAATCAATTCTGATTGCAGTCCAGCGGATCGCAGCGCGATCCACTGGCCGATAGCCGAGAAAAAAGTCAGCGCATCCAACTACCGGGCTGCACGGTGGTTGGTATAGCTGAAGAAGCAAGGGCGGACGAAGGGACAGAGATAAAGTAAGAATAAGAAGAGGAGAGTGCGGAGATGCGCGAAAGAGACACGGACCGGCGTCGGACGGGTAAGAGGAAAGAAAGGATAAAGGGGGAACACACTGGCGATACCGAGAGGGACAGAAAGAAAACGAAGGTTCAGTGGGTGCAGTTGGAGGAGAGAAAATACGGGTAGAAACGGGTTTCGATACGGGCTCGGGGGTGCGAATTAGTTTGCTTGCGTTGCAGTCGCGAGGAAGCGTTCGTCTACGAATCGGCCGTCGTCGGAAGCGAAGCGAAATCGAGGCTCATAAAAACTGAAAACACAACTGAATTATTTATCGACGCATTCATAGTATAGAGGGTAGTGGAGTGGACCTCTGAGTTCGAGGCAATTACATCGATGTAGGATCAAACAGGATCAAACATATGGACCCAAAACTATTACTCCCATTGACTGCCGTTCTTGCAATGTCTTGGCTTTCTTTGGTTTACAAGATCTAACACCAAGGTCTAATACGTGACAGAAGCCTCGTGATGTAACATCATAGATAGAAGCCACAGATTATCTCTCGTACGGAGAAATTGCGAGAACAACGACATCGTACTCGAATTTTAAGTGCTCCAAAGTCTCGCATGCGTAAAAGGGCAAAGACCTCGGGTTAAACTATGCACGCCTCTGGCCTCGGATACAATCAGGATTAGAGGTAGTCCCCCGTTGAAGTTGGAAATATTTAAACTTCCGCGATGAGACTTTTTTGACTTTTTTTCAAATAAAGGTTGAAATAATGTATTACATCATAATCAACGTTACGCTTGCTCGAAAGCCTTTGCCCGACAATCTATCGAAGAAAACACGTATACTCGTGGGACGGTGCCGTCCATCGCGGATTATAAATTCTGAAAAGATGCTCGAGATAAGATTGTTGCCGACGAAAGAGAAAAAAGGCAGCGGTCCATCGGTGGCGGATATGTAATGTGCGAGTTACTCCAGCAACAACCTTGACTCGCCACAAGCCATACTCGCGCGCTTCTTATAATCCCTTGTGTTCGCGCGCGTCCGGCCCCATTAGTAGTTGGCTGACCCATCATTCAATAATGCTCTCAATGTCTGTGCGACCGTGTCTCCATGTCTTCGGACGCACACGTATGCGCGACACGGTGATAATTAGACCGAATTTCCGCGCGGGAAGGCAAAAATTTCTCGAGTCACGTCAAATCTTTTATTTATCTCCCACGCCGTGCCTCTTGTATTTTTACCATTGTATTTTTACCATTTGGTCTTCGCGTCTCGTTAAACGACGACGTATTAAAATTATAGATAGATATATAAACACATACATCGAGAGACCTTTTATGACTTTTATGACTCTCTTTGCTTCTCTATCTGTAGGACGAGCGAAATTTTAATACAAACTTTTGTGCAGATAACCGCGTATAGGATAAATGTTTGTGTATCTGGATAGTCTGCTACGTATAATCTTGAGACGAGTGCCATTGAGACATTGCACATATGTACGTTCTGAATACACGAATTGATCCCAGTGTTATGTCTACGAACGAATAATTAGTTATCAAAATTATACGCATTGAGTTGTGATATTAATATTATCATCTAGGAAATATATTATACATAGCACATTGGCACTTTCTACAACAATAGATTCTTTGTCGTGCTAAGTAATTTTCTCACATTAAATAATAACACTTTATTGATCTTATATTAATCTTTAGTGATGTGTTAGCACAAGAATACCTGCACCCAACGACTCGAAAACAGGCAGACTGTCTAATTAATGAGTGGCATTGACTAATTGTAAGCGACACTCGTCTTCCTGCCGAAAAAGGCTTGAAGCACGGTAGCTTCTAAAGAATCAATGCAAATACCGCAGTCTTTTGTGGCAAATGATTCGGAACGGCCACTAACGCTCGACTTGACAAGCTCCTTCTTATTCATATCGACGCGAATCGGTGTCAAATGCTCCACCAGTTTTCGTTAAATTATCATTTCTGTAGTGCGACAACCGTTCTACTGGCATTTCTCGAACAAACAAGCGCGAAGTGAAAAGATGATTTCTATGGACAAACGTGCGAGTCATCGAACGGAATATTCACCATAACGAGAAAATTTTACTCGTGTTTAAAAATTCGTACGTTCGTATTTTTTCATCCAAAAATAAAGACTTACCTTGGATTGTTTTTATTCGCGTAACATCGTTCGTGTTATAATCGATCAATAAATCATGTTAAAGCAATCACCATCGATTTCGCGGAGGATAGAAGAGAATTAAATAACAGAATTAAAATCGTAGTGATTCAAATACTGTACTTCTCGAGCGGTATATCGTATCGAGACGATATGTCAGTGTCATTCGCGCTGTCACTACGTTATATACTAGGTGTTTCAGAAATAAAGATAATCCTGAAAGAATCCCGAGAGAATAGAACTTACATTTACAAATGAATAAAACTGGATAAATTATGAAATATTTTAAATGCTTTCACACGAGTCTACATTTAATCTTGTATCTATATATTTATCGTTATTTGAAGAAAGACATCATGTATCTCGTAGAAGGAATGCGACGTCCACGAAACATTGTCTAAGGACAAAGGAATCTTTCAATTCGTTTCTTTTCTCAATGCAAAACATTGACTTAATTCAAGAGATTTTTTTTGTATATCACAAATTTCGGAACACCCTTTAGAGGTTTTCCTTGTTACGATGGCTGGTATGATTATACGTTTTATAAATACAGAGCGACAGACGTTCCTACTAGTTGCTTCGACATCGAAAGCACGACGAGCAGGATAATTGATAGCGGAATGCTAATAACTCGTACGAGGCAGGCATTATAATAAGTTTTTTGCCGGGCGTGTGCCTCGTGTCTAGTGCATTCTCACTTCTCACTCCCCTCGCGATGCACCGCGGGTGTTCTTTCTGGTACTTATTAGCACGTAATTTGCTTAGTCTCGGCATTGATACAACTAGCTATCACGTTGACACATTGAATTCAAATAAAAGCTTTTATTTCTTTTTTCTAATTAAAAATGTAACTACGCTGTGTTGTTTTTAATATGCACTTTATATACAAGCTTATTAATAATAAGTATTTTAATATTCATACATTTCAAAAAGTAAGCAAACCTCTCGTACGTAAAATCAGTTATCGTCGTCAATGTTCACAAGTCTGGCTGATTTGACATCGTGTTAGATTTCTCACGTAGAGATAACCCGAAGAAAAATGTGTGTTTATATAAATGTATGATAGTGTGAAACGCGCAATCGAAAATGCAGACGCAAATTCAGGTGGACGTCTGTGTTTCGTATTTTCTCCGAGCAGATTAGTAGTTGTGAAATGAAAAAAAATCTTAATACAATTTGCCGGGATATTAAGCACACGAAGAGTATAATTACAAGAACTGTTCTTACGCGTTGCTTTCCTCCGAGCGATTATACATCGCGGCATACAGGCATGGAGTGTTAATAATTACGGTAGACGATGGAGAGCGTATATGTATTCGTATTAAGAAAGAACGATATCCGTGTTTTGAAATAAAGGCTTCGATATCGTACATCTTGTTTCGTTAAAATTACGTTCACATTATGCATACACAATACTTTTTTTATATAAAATAATTTCTAAAATATTTCTTCGTAAGATCATTTTTTGAAAAAAAAAACCGATTTTTTTATTTTGCAAATTATACATAATAATTAATTCATGTGGACTCGCGTACGTCAATCGGGATATTAAGAGAAATACTCATGTAGATTAAAAAATATCTAGTACTTTTCCAAGTATTTGCTTGAAATGGGTAAATATGGGAGTACTTCCCCAACGAAGAAATATTGACTAGGCAAACAAAACTGAGGCTAAGACAAGCGAGACCTCTCCATTTGCCGGTGCATCTAGACTGGGCGACGGTAGATGCGACGGCATCAGACTTTGCGGTAATATAGTTTATGTTGTTCTTTCTAGTTTCTACGAAGGTTTTCAACTTTCTCTCTCTCTCTCTCTCTCTCTCTCTCTCTCTCTCTCTCTCTCTCTCTCTTTAATAAATAGCGATTTTTATAATTGCGATTTCTTGGATTGAAATTCAATCACAGCCACAAATAAAATGTACAGATTCAAATGTGCATTCAGTGAAAGACATAAACTTTTATATTTATTAAATTATTAAAGTATGTAAAATGTATATACTTATACGCTCTACTATATCTTAGAGGATGAAGGAATTGAGTGTTTCAAAGACCCGCTTTTTTTGGAGCTTTTTCGGAGCAAGAAGAAAAAAACTGTACATGCTTCATATACGAACCTGGTAGGGAAATAGGGAAATCCCTGATGAACATGTAGATCCATGGGCATCGCGGGATGAGCGGGACCATGGTGCGCCGCGGTTGGCACGTACTCACCACCCGTAGACATGGGGGGCTGCATCATACCCGCGGCAGCGGCCGCGTGGTGACCCGCGAACATGGCCCCCCAATGGAAACCGGGTGCACCTGGCATCGCCGACGGATGCTCCAATTCGAGGGCACGGTGACTTCCGCCGGCACCACCGACGATACCACCCCCGGCTGCGCCTCCGGCACTTCCGCCTCCGCGGTGCATCCGCCACCCTTCCACCACGAATGTCGGTGGTATTTCCGTCGTCTCGATCAGTCGCGCACTCTCTTTTCTCTCTTTCTCTCTATTTCTCCCGCTCTTTCTCTCTCTCTCTCTCTCTCTCTCTCTCTCTCTCTCTCTCTCTCTCTCTCTCTCTCTCTCTCTATCTTCGATAATTCACTCAAACGCTACTGCTCACTTGCACACTGTGCGCGTGTCACTCGCGCTTTTAACCCGCACCCGTGCCCGCACCGATACTCGGGCCCGTGCCGGTACTCGGCGGCCTTTTCCCGTCGACGGAAACCTCTGCCAAACGGGGGGGGGGGGAGGAGGAGGGCTTGACGATCCGCAAACTCTTCGAGCACCGCACCATCGACCGGTACTTTTTATTCTCGCGGCACGCGGTACACCCGTGAACACCGTGAACGTCGTAAACGCATGGGTACCGTCGCGGCGTGGCAGCCGATGTGACTCCGAGAACCGCGGTAGCGGCGACGACGCGACCGAGAACGCAGCGATGAACGCGGCGGATGCGGATGCTGCGGGGGAGACAGGTGTAGTCCGCGCCGTAGTGTATCCTCTGGTGAGCCGCTGCAGCCGGACGGACCCGAACAGTGGCGCAGCCTTTAGCTCGGCCATGAATGACGCGCCGTATTCCGAGTTACCTCGCGGAGGCGGAGCCTCAGCCTACTCTCGCCCGCGTGATACCTCCCGCCTCCATTCCCTCTCCGATCCTCTTTTCTCCCCCCGATCTCTCTCCTGCCGCGACTTCACCCTCTCGCGACCACGTGCGCGCGCGTCCCAACGCGAGGACGCTATCCTCTCTCATTTCCTCCCTAGCCGTGTCTCTCATATCTCTCCGCGAGTCTATCGAACTCGCTCCGCGTTGTTATTTCACTACCGCAGTACGCACATAATGCAGTATCTCCAGATACATTCGCTTGAATCTTATCTTTACAATTCAGACATCTATGTATCACATTCAGATATCTACCAGACATAATCGAGAACGATTAGACGACTATCGGGGGATAATCATGTATATTTACGTTATTTATTCTTGGATCTTCAATCTTTGCTTGAGATGTTTAATGAAGAGAGCCAAACGTTGCCGGACTTACAGGCACTTGCAGGAAGAAAAAAATGATATCGAGGGAATTAATATGCGACTCTGCCACGCGATCTCACGGGTAGGAGAGAAACGCCCCCGTTGACCACGCGCGGGGCGGACAAGCGCGTCGCAGATCGACGAAACCGTAGAGAGACGCAAGCTCGTTTTGGCGTAACACTTGTTGAGCCACTTCGCCCCCGTGGCCTTCGACTAAACACGTCTCTTAATCGATGTTTCATAAGCGACGAAAAAGATTTCGAGAATGAACTCGTCATGTATTCATTCGTCGTGTACGATCATCTATTTCTATGCGGTAAATCGAGAATGCTTATCTTACCTTTACGCAAAATAAGTCACGTCGCAGTGCATTATTTGTCACTGGAGACCCTACACTTGGAGTCTGGCCATAAGGCAATTATGGCAAGATCCTGCGAGAAGGAAAGGGACGTTACTATACGTTCTCTCTTTAACCTGGCCTCTTCTGACATTCCCTCAAGCATTGCGTTGTCACATTTATGACAGTCTGAAAAAAAATATGAAGCGGAAGTTGTCAGAACTTAACGAATCAATCAGAACTGACTGTCTTATAGTCAGACTCTGATTGTAAGATCTCTACTTGTTACTATCAAACATTTAATTTTTTCAAAAGATGAAGAACGAGTAGTTAGTAATAATTACAAATTATGCTTAACAATGATTCGAATCGAGATACATTTTTCTCTTCCATTAATCGCGTGACGAAAGAGGATAGAGATTTAACATATTCTCTGTTGCGTTTAATGTTCAGCTTCTCGACAAATTATATCGCCCAACTGTGTTACTTCTTTTACTGGATGTACAATGCTTAGACAGCTTCGGAATTATTACTTGTAATCAGGGATTCGCCGCGCGAATGGTAAATAAAAGCGAAGCTGTAACGTACACATTAAATCAACCGGAGTTACGTCAGCCCCTCGAGTTGTAACCGGTACTACTACCATAAAAAATTTAATCAAAATGCCCTCTTGGTAATTTACAGCTCGCTCAACCCTTGCCAGACAAGGTGACTCTCCGGTCGGTGGGCGGAGAGGCGACCTCGCTTGCTTAAGTAAGTCGAGTTGAAGTAGGGGTTGTAAGACGATAGAGAGGAAACAACCAAAAATAAGAAGGGACGAATAAACCCCGTAGGAGTCATAGAATGGTAGTAAGATGCGGCCCATTTGCTCGTTCGAAGCTCTTTTCCGTAAAAAATAATTCAGTCCCTGCTCGCGTTTGCTGTTTGCCGTCTGTCACTTAGGATAAATCTTTTTTTAATATAAATATGGATATATAATTTTACATTTTTGATTCGCCAATTATCAAGTCATTATTCAAGAATGATTTATTTGCACAGCTTCGCGTCCATCAATTAACTTAATTTTTTTTATTTTTGCTGGATTATTTTAGACCGTGTGATAATCAAGTCCGCTGCGTTCGCGCGCGCGACATTCGTTCGTTCGTCGAGAGTGGTGATAATAATTTACTCGCAACTTCGACTTATTGTTGTCAGGAGAGGGAAGGGAGAAGAAGGTAACGTCGTGCCATTAAGTAGATTCTCTTAAGCAGAAAAATCGTTCCGCGCTGGCCTACCACACGTGGGTACAGGTGTGAGTCGTAATAACATAGTGGATGTGCCCTTTAACCCCTAATATCCCTACCTTCGCGCTGACTTCACTAAGGCCGCCGCAAACGGACGTAGGAACACGGCAATCATCGTACCTCTGTATCAATTGCAGGCGCATTATTGTTGCGGATATACTTGACGGTCTGCCGTATCATTGAACTTTCGGCAATACGCCGCGATCGCGAACGTTGTCATTGGCGACATACATTATATGTTTGAATGACAAAGCAATGCGTTTTTCTTATAGAACAATAGGAGTCATTTTCAGGGATTTTCACACAGGATTTAAAGGCATGGAATATACAAAAACGTTTCTCTGAACAAGAATTCAAAATTTATTTGAAATGTCTAAAATGTAGTATAATACTTCAATGTAGTGTAATACTTCAAGTCGTGAAAAAAATTCTCGTTAATAATGTTCGAACGTTACTTTACAACCGTACAATGATTCGTTTTGATACAGTAAAGTGCAATGAAAATCTGAAAGTCGGTGCACCACAAGGTAATCGCACGGTGAGTTGAGCAAACCAATTTGGCGATTACATCGAGATGCATAAACTTAGCAATGTTTTATGTCGAAGAGAAAATGACTTGAATCCATAATTGTAAAGTAACGCTTTACGCGCTTCACTATTGCGTGAGCAATATTCGAGAAAATGCTATAAGTGAAAATTTCTATTGGAAAAATTAAGAAAAAAAATATTGCAGTTTGCTGAAAACCGCGACAGTCTTATTGTCACTGGCAACAAAATTACAGTCAGAATTGCAGAGATATCAATCTTCAAAGAAAGAAATCAATAAAGATTATGAAGTAGCTCACGAAACGTGAATAAAATACAACATAATTATTAGCATATAATAAATTGCGTTCATCGCTTCCATTTGAGCGTCACACACGATAGACGAGCAATATAAATGAATATTAATACTTTTAGTTTTTTTCTATACCCTGCTTTCTTTCAGACAGCTATGATAGTCTACTGAATAGTGTCTCACTCGTGTCTCAAGTAGAAGCGTTGCTACACATCTACGTACTAAGATTATCGCTAATATAATTTTAGCGGCTTTCAAAACCATCGTTCCTTACAGATGCAATTCAAATATCAAAATGGTTTTACCATTTTTTCCCAATTTTTTGGTCATTTTAATCAATATTAAAAATATTTGGCTCGATTGAAGTAACATTTAAAAAATGCATTAGTTTTGTAAAGGCTAAACGATGATTTTCGAAGATACCGAATATCGTAATACTTTGTTCGCACTTATCGAATTGAATGCTTTTTTATAACTCTTTTTTGCAGAGCATCGCAATAACCATACGATTTCCTTTGAATAATAAAAAAAGATACATGCATATATATCTAATAATCTATATAATATAGATGAATATAAATTCAGTAAAATGATAAGCGTGACACGACCGTTACAATATTATCAAGTATTCCTTCAACCGCGTGCATAAGATAATATAATATAGAATAGGTATACTATAAGTAGCATTTTGATTTTTCAGGTACTTTATACACGTCATTATTTTGTATAAGGCAGATTAAAAATCGTGTCGCGCTCTCGTGATACGAAGGTAAAGTGTATTTGAAATGCGTGTACTTAAAAGAGTTATTGCTGCAAGAAAAGGCGCTTTTCAATTTACGAAATATCCTTAAGTTTTATTTGATATTTTCTGATGACGATATTTAATTCCTTTAGGTTTGCTTAATACGAGACAAAAGATTTCAATAACATTTTAAGTCACACATTGCATAAAAAGTCTATGCGGTGTTGTTCCGTTATTTTAACGTTACTTATAAAATACTACAGTCACATATATGAATGCAATATGCATAAGTCTTCATGTTAAATCGCCATAATTCTAAAATAAGCGCAAAGTCACGTTTATTATTGAGTTTCATTATCGTTCTTGTTAAGTCAGAGATCTTCATTTCATTGAATAATTCCATTGTAATATATGACAATTGTGTCATCTTAATATATTTTATCGAAGAGTATTCGATACGATTGACATTCGTCCATCTAACGGGCAATTAAATAATTGCCATTCTCTAATATGATGAATGTAAGTACGTATGTACTTTATTATTGGATAACTATATAATTATCCAATAAATCTCACTCAATACTCATATATCCTCTGTATATCTCTAGTCGATGTCAAAATAACGTAAAAAATTGTTTACGTAAATTACGTTTAACAAGATAATCAAGCGATTATCTTACATCAAAAAAAAAAATCAG